TTTTTTTTTCAATTTGTAATATATAAAACAATTTTCATATGTATAATTATTTTTTAAAACGAAATTTTTTATTTTTTTTCGAAAAAATTTTCTTCTGCGACGGAATAATCCGTCGCATACGGAATAATCCGACGGATATCTTCCGTCGCTCGTCGATGCTGCGACTGAACTATCCGTCGTTACAACCGTCGCTAATTTGCGACTATTATCTGACCAATCCTCCCGTCCCTCTTTGCGACTATTATGCGATAGATGATCCGTCGCATTATCCGACGGAAATACGACGGAAATTCCGTCGGTGAGAGCGACGACTGAACGACGGAATTTCCGTCGCGTTTACCATGGAAAAACGACGGAGTTTTCGTCGGTCATATCGACTAGATTGCGACGGTTAGTCCGTCGCGTTTACCGGCGGAATATTCCGTCGCTAAAAAACGACTGAGTTACGACGGGTTTTTCCGTCGCAAATATGCGACGGATTCACGACCGGGATGTGTTTGCGACAACCATTACCGGACGGAACTTATTCCGTCGAAGTCCGTCGCAAACTGAAAATACCGACGGAATTTTCTGTTTTGTGCGACGGATATTTCCGTCGAAAAATGGAGTGTTTTTTGTAGTGTAAGAGGATCGATATGGTTGAGTTGCTACAGAAATGGAAGAAAGGATCCATTGCAGTGTCAGACAACAAAGGACGGATACTCAGCTTCTATATCCATTCGGGTGGCAGATGTTGTTCCAATCCACACCTTTATGTTTTCGTGTTCTAATCCTGGTTGAGAGCTATCATGCTATTCTGAAGACGAATATCGGTCAAGAAGAAAACGATTTTCTCTCGAGTCTTTAAAAGACGTGATCGAGCCATTAGAAAGCCTCAGTATGAATATGATCCCGTCGACTAACAAGCTGACTGTCAAAGAGTTTGGACCTCCTCAACCAGGTTTCTGATCTGTCTGTTCTTGATAAATTTTTCATGTAGTTTTTCCGTGTGTTCTGTGTTGTGTTTATAACATAGTTTGAACACATGTCACTCTATGTATTAAAAGAGGAAGAAATTGGTTTGGTATGTTCTTTAACTCGGAATGGTGGATACCCGAAATTTTAGGTATTTGTCCACCGGTAAGATGGGTACAGTATGTCGGCGGCGAGAATCTGATGTTTGGGTTTGAATTCGGGTTTTGGTTGGAGATAACTCATATCCCGTGGGTATCCAAACCCGAGAGAGAGAGGGTGGAGAGGGACCGATGCGAGATGGGAGGGTCGAGGAGAGGGGAGACTCAAGAAATTAAGGATACTTTTTTTAAAGAAACATTCAAAAAAACCCTTTTTTCTTTCTCTCTGTCCTCTCCTCACCCTCTTCCGTAGCCCCCATCGTTCCCTCGCCGGTCGGGTACCCATTATTGAAAAATAAAATGCGGAAATTAAATTAGAAAGAAAGAACAAAAGATAAAAGAACGGAAACACTTTTATTGCTACATCTCTTCTTCTTGTTACATTACAATAAAAATAATCCATACATTTATAGGAAAAATTATTGAAAGAAACAAGGAAATAAAGATACGAAAGAAACAAATAAGGCAAAATATAATTATCACGATATATATTTTATTCTTAATCGATATTATGCCTTTAATTGTTATCAATCATATCAAATCTCCATATTTTGTTTTTATTTCAACATTCTCCCTCAAGATTGATTTTGAAAGAATTCAAAAATCAATCTTGAAGATACAACAAAATGATGAAAAACTTCACTGTTATTAGAACAATCCATAGAAACCAAATTTCATTCATTTAGAGAGTATTAACCTCTTTCAAATCACTTCGCTTGACTTTAAAATTCTAGTTTTAACTCTTTTTGTCATAGCATCTTGCTTGATCTTAGAGTTTTTAGCTTTGACTTCTTTTTGTCATAGCACATCGTTTGAATCTGGTTTTTTTACTCTCCCTTTGAACGATTTGGATATATGAACATCCAAAACGCAAAAGAAAGAAGCGATTAGAAAATTAGAAAAAGAGAAACATATAGTTCAGATCGCAACGCTGCTCTGATACCATATTGAAAAATAAAATGCGGAAATTAAATTAGAAAGAAAGAACAAAAGATAAAAGAACGGAAACACTTTTATTGCTACATCTCTTCTTCTTGTTACATTACAATAAAAATAATCTATACATTTATAGGAAAAATTATTGAAAGAAACAAGGAAATAAAGATACGAAAGAAACAAATAAGGTAAAATATAATTATCACGATATATATTTTATTCTTAATCGATATTATGCTTTTAATTGTTATCAATCATATCAAATCTCCATATTTTGTTTCTATTTCAACACCCATGCCCTCCCCGCACCCCATAGATACCCGATCCTCACGAAGGAAAGGCCACAAAGTCTAACCGAGAGACCCGAGGGAAACGAAACCGAGGTTGAGTACATCGAAAAAGCTCGGGTATTCAATCGATGCCCAACTTTACTGCAAAGCAAAAAACACTAGACGTTGTCCTCTTAACATCTGCCTTGCCGCAACACAATGGTATCCGAAACTCGAGCTTCTCAAGAGTTTAAGAACTCGTTGATCGAGTCAGGCGTATTCTCGGCATATACCCTTTTCGGGTTTTACCAAGTTTCATGGCGCGGAAACGTCGTATCTGCTGAAAAGTTTTAAACTTTGACGACCGGAGCTAACGAGAGGACGTGGGAGAAAGATGAAAAGATAGGCTTCACATCGTTATTGACTCCTTAAAGATCTCATAGCTCTCATTAGTTTTTTTTTTCTTTTTCGCTTCTCTTCTCCATTTCCTTTCATTTGCTTTGAACATTACATTACACCACTTCGGCTATTGTATTGTTGCTTTTTTTATGCAATAAGATATTTCTTCTTTCAAATCAATATATTTTCATAAAATGCGTATATATATATATATACACTTGGAAAAGGGGATGGAGAAGCAAGAAAGCAAGAGACAGACCAAATGAACTGTCAAGGACTGGGGGGAAAAGGCATCATCAATAATACCAACTCTCTTTAAGCCCACCAGAGAAACGCTATTCTGACATGGCTTCGTACCTTATCCCTCCGTCACCCGCACCCCTTTACCTAATAACCCCCTCGTACAGCTGTTTTATTTACACACTCTCTATTTAATAAAAACAAATTAAAAACAGCACGCTAACCAACAACACCACACACGCCTCCCGAATTGTTTATTTATTTATTTATTTTGGTACGTTTCTTCTTATTAAATTTTGTTTTTTGAAAATATGTAATTAGTTTTAGATTTTTCGTTTGGGTATGATGTGAATTAATTAGCTTTAGATTAAAAAATCGGAATACAATAACGTATTCCAAAAAAAAAATGTTGAGCGATTCTAGGTAAAATGAGTAATTCTCGTGGGCATATTATTAATATATATATATATATATATCCCATTTAGTTAAAGTTGATTTGATTTAGTGGATATGATTTGTATAAATAGATATATTTTACGTTCCATTTAGTTAAAATAATAAGCCCATTAGTTAAATTGTGTTTATTTATATAATTTGTGGAGTCAAATTATACTGAAATGAGCTAAGACGTCGAATTTATATTTAGATTTTATTTCTATAAATATGAGTTGTAATATTAATGTGTCATAAGTTGTCTTCTTTAATAATATAAGCTGATTAGGTTGCCAAAGGCTGATAAGATTTCCATACAAAGATATGTTGAACTTATCAAAATAAATATCTTCTTGCATTTAAGAAATTCCAATATATTTTGAGAAAAAAAAAGAAATTTCAATATATATTATAAAAAAAACATTTGCAAATTTCGTCGCCGTTGTTGACCGTTAAACCCAGCTTCAAGGTACCGAATCATACAATTGGCCATTAGAAATCAAATTAAATATAAAAAAAGAGCGAAAAAATTAAATAAAATAGAAAAAAGAAAAAAGAAAAGGAAAAGCGAAAAACAGAAGACAGACAATACACTGCGACGACAGAAAGATCAAAATCGAAATCTCTCCACAAGAGAGGAGGAAGAAGAAGAACCGGAGACGATTTTTCTTCGCAGGTGCTGTAACGAATCCTCCTCTAAACTTTAGCAGATCTGCTAATTTTAGAGAAGGGAGAGGAATCCGAAGAATCTAGGGTTTGGTTCTCCATCCGACGCCGATATGATGATCTCCAGGGGTTTGTTCGGGTGGTCTCCGCCGCATATACAGCCATTAACGCCGGTTTCAGAGGTCTCTGAGCCGCCGGAGTCTCCGTCTCCGTACATAGATCCCGGAGCTGAGGCCGGCGGCACGGCGGCGCAGGCGGCGCAGGCGGAGGCTGAGGAGGAGATGGAGGAGCCTGAGGAGGTCGAGCCGCCTCCGGCTGCTGTTCCGTTCTCCCAGCTCTTCGCCTGCGCCGACCGGTTCGATTGGGTTCTCATGGTTGTTGGATCCGTCGCTGCTGCTGCTCATGGCACCGCGCTTATCGTCTACTTGCACTACTTCGCGAAGATTGTTGAGGTTCTTGCGTTTGGAAAGGATTCGGGTCACAAGGGACCTGAGGATCAGTTCGAGCGCTTCACAGAGGTTAGTGAGCTCTATATGCTCTCTGGGTTATACGGAAATCGTCATTTTTGCTCGCTTTATTATCTATGGGGAGCTTGTGGGGTGGTGAAAGAGGTTAATGTTGCTCGAAATGTAGGTGTATGTGTTCGTAGTTGGTAGCCGCGCGAAGATCTCTTAGCTGTACTAGACGTTCGAGTAGCCAAGTTGTTTTCTTTTCCTGTTTTGGGGGAAGTTGGAATTCGAGTTTCAAGCTCGAAGTTTCTAAATGGTTGCCCAAGTTTTAGGCTTGTTGTTGGAGTTCTTGAAATTTCAATATGATCTCTACTCAAATGGATTTGACAATCTGGGATTGAGATTTTAAACTTTGCCCAGTCATTCAAATGGGACACTGTAATCGTCTTGGGTTTCTGGCTGCCACTCTAGGTTTAGGGTTCATGCTTTGGTACATACCACAGGAGGTGAAAATGTCTTTGAAAAATGGTCTGTGTTATTCTTCTTGAAGCTTCTGGTACTCTGATCTTGGTCATAGTTGTCACAGTTAATAAGATAACATCAAAGGTTGGCGGAAAGGGTTAATTCAATTCTAACTTGTATTTTTCAGATATTAAAAAAGTATGGCCTTTAGATTAGATCGTCTTTCGCAGCAATCTGATCAAACATGAAGAAATATGATTCAGCAAATTTCTCTGATCATTTTCCATAGATGTGTAAACTTTGTGGATTTGGATGTTGAGTTGTACTATTAGTGCATTTGTTGAAGTTGGACACCAGGTTTGCTGGTTCATGATCCTGGCATGATAGTTAAGCAGACTGGTTTTCCTGTGGCTTCTGTTTCTGAATTCACATTAGTTGGGGAATCAACAATGCTTTAGTTGGCTGGAGAATCAGTAGTGAAATTTCTTGTCTCGCTCAATTGTAGCAATAAAAAGAAGGTATTCCTTGTTCGAGTGCTAGATCTTTGTTTTACCCTTTTCATTATAGATTTTCCATGCAAATGCTTGTTTTTCTTGTAGTTTATTCTGTTACATGTGGAGAATTTGTTTATTATTCGATCAGAATAATTTAGAATCACAGCACACTGGCTAGAATATGAAATTATCCCTATCTGAGTTTCTTATGCTCTTTGTGCAGCTTTCGTTGAATATTGTTTACATAGCTGCTGGTGTTTTCATTGCTGGTTGGATTGGTAAGTCTACTACATACACACACACACACATATATATATATATATATATAATTCAAATTGTCTGCGTGTTTCCTCTACTGCAAAGGTTCTGTTAGCAGCTACTATTACTAATGTATTTTTCTCTATAATAGAGGTGTCTTGCTGGATACTAACTGGCGAGCGGCAGACTGCTGTGATCAGATCCAAGTATGTCCAAGTGCTATTGAATCAGGATATGAGTTTCTTTGATACATATGGGAACAATGGGGATATTGTAAGCCAAGTGCTTAGTGATGTCCTACTCATCCAGTCAGCTCTTAGTGAGAAAGTAGGTCTAACTCTAATTATTTGACTCCAGTCTCTAGTTTCCCCTTGCTTGTCTCAATCTTTGCCACTAGTAAGTAGTAACACTTCTTGACTAGCATTTCTGTGATCTTGGATGTTGCAGGTTGGAAATTACATTCATAACATGGCTACATTTATTAGTGGTCTCATCATTGGCTTTGTCAACTGCTGGGAGATTGCAGCTATTACATTAGCCACTGGTCCTTTCATTGTTGCTGCAGGAGGCATATCAAACATATTTCTCCACAGACTTGCTGAGAATATTCAAGATGCATATGCTGAGGCAGCTAGCATCGCTGAACAGGTATTACAAATGTCGGAAGTTCTAGAATCTAATAGCTCAGTGTGTTGTGCAACACTGCAGTACAGATACTGAGACTGTACCACTTGCAATTGACGCCCTGAATTCACTGAAACTGAAGTTTTTGGTCATTTCAAATTTAAGCATTGAACTTTTGTCTCAAGCATTTGCAAACATAGAGCTTGTTTACTATCAGTACAAAGTTGAATTGCGATGTGCAAAATTCAATTATTTTCTCGTTTATTCTAACATTATCTTTTCGTGTTTTAAGTTTATAAAGTGGTAGGCAGAAGCATAGTGGGTCAGATGTAAATTAATCAGTTTGGACTTTCCTAGCTGATATAAGCCGAACCCTAACTCCACAAAAGCTAGAACAAGAGTGGAGGGTTGAGCCAAGCTTACATACTAGCCCTAGATCCCTCTCTGGAACCAATGTGGGACACATCACTAGCTTACATCTATGGTTTTTAGTTTACTTCTATGGTCGAACGAGGTCGTATTTGCATTATGAGTGAACTGAATTTATGGCAGTAACATCTATGAACATATCCCTTGTTTTAGTTATTCTGTGGTGCATGAATAAGTGTTGTTGACATTCATGAAAGGAATACCGTATCAAACGTGAATGTTTGGAGATTACATACTGACTACAATTAGTTTGCGAAATGTGTCACCTACAGGCCCCATTTTCTATTTTCCCTTTCAAAAGTTACTTTACTGTCCAAGCGAGTGTCTTGTCTGAAACTAATTTCTTATAAAAGTTTATCTCAAATCTGCAGGCTATCTCTTACATTAGGACTTTGTATGCCTTCACAAATGAAACTCTTGCCAAATATTCATATGCAACTTCCCTTCAAGCAACTTTGAGATATGGTATAATGATCAGTCTTGTGCAAGGACTTGGACTTGGATTTACTTATGGGCTTGCCATATGCTCATGTGCTCTACAACTGTGGGTTGGGCGGTTCTTTGTGACTCATGGAAGAGCTAATGGTGGAGAAATCATAACAGCCCTTTTTGCTATAATTTTAAGCGGCCTGTAAGCTTCTGAATCCACTGTTTCTATCTTAATATATCTTCTGTGTCATTTCATATACATGTGTGTGTGTGCGTGTGTATTTATACATGTTGTGTTGTTCAGGGGGTTAAATCAAGCTGCGACGAACTTTTATTCATTCGATCAAGGGAGGATTGCAGCTTACAGACTTTTTGAGATGATAAGTCGCTCAACTTCTGGAGCTAATCAAGAGGGATCTGTTCTACCTTCTGTTCAAGGAAATATTGAATTTCGGAATGTATATTTCAGCTATTTGTCAAGACCTGAAATTCCAATCCTGAGTGGATTCTACCTCACTGTGCCTGCTAAGAAAGCTGTTGCACTTGTTGGTAGAAATGGTTCTGGAAAAAGCAGCATTATACCATTAATGGAACGGTTTTATGATCCAACATTAGGTACTACAAAATGAGATTTAAGATGCCCCAATATGCCTTTGGAATCCACTTTTAAACATTCTCCTGCTGTGAAGGCCATATTAGCTGACTAGGTTTGTGGTTTCTTCTTATGCAGGAGAGGTCCTTCTTGATGGGGAAAATATTAAAAATCTAAAACTCGAGTGGTTAAGAAGCCAAATAGGTCTGGTGACACAGGAGCCTGCTTTGCTGAGCTTGAGCATAAGAGAGAATATTTCATATGGTCGAGATGCTACTATGGATCAGATAGAGGAGGCGGCTAAAATTGCGCATGCACACACATTTATCAGCTCACTAGAGAAAGGATATGAAACCCAGGTAAACATTGTTTGAAAAGTTTTCAGTTATGAATTGCATGTCACTATGTTAGGTTATGTTGCAATCTTTTAGAAATCTGAAATGACGAGATGTCTTGTAGGTTGGAAGAGCTGGTTTAGCATTGACAGAGGAGCAGAAAATGAAACTCTCGATTGCTAGAGCTGTGCTCTTGAATCCAACGATTCTTCTGCTTGATGAGGTCACCGGAGGCCTTGACTTTGAAGCTGAAAAAGTTGTTCAAGAAGCTCTGGATCTCCTCATGTTGGGAAGGTCAACCATAATAATAGCTCGACGGCTCAGTCTTATAAGAAATGCTGACTATATTGCTGTGATGGAGGAAGGTCAGCTGGTTGAAATGGGTACACACGATGAATTAATAAACCTTGATGGATTGTATGCTGAGCTTCTGAAGTGCGAAGAAGCAGCAAAGCTGCCCAGAAGGTATGACACTAGAATCTAGAAGAAAAAAACTTACAACTTACTGCATTTCGGCATCTCTTTCAGATAATGAAATTCATGTGGCAAAAGTGTTTTTTGTTAGATTGCATTTGATTCCTGTAGTAATTATCTTTATCCTGAGGGTCTTTTGTTGATATTACTCGATAATTGGATTTGTTTGTTCTTCCAGGATGCCAGTCAGAAACTACAAAGAGTCTGCGGCATTTCAGGTAGAGAGGGATTCTTCAGCTGGGCGTAGCTTCCAAGAACCATCATCACCCAAAATGGCCAAGTCGCCATCTCTTCAGAGAGGCCACGGTTTATTCCGTCCCCAGGAAGGCTTTTTTAATACCGAAGAATTACCTAAAGATCACAGCCCAGCGCCAGAGAAAATGTCGGAGAATGGCATGTCTATAGATTCTTCTGATAAGGAGCCAACCATTAAAAGGCAGGATAGTTTCGAGATGAGGTTACCAGATCTACCAAAAATCGATGTCCAGGGTCCACAACGGCAGAAATCGAATGGTTCAGATCCAGAATCCCCTATATCACCCCTTTTGACATCGGATCCAAAAAATGAGCGCTCCCATTCACAGACGTTTAGTCGTCCACTTGATCGCTCTGATGACACTTCAACAGATGCTAGGGCAGAGAGTCAACACAAGGATTCACCTTCATTTTGGAGGTTGGCTCAGCTTAGTTTTCCAGAGTGGCTCTATGCCGTACTAGGAAGTCTTGGTGCTGCTATCTTCGGTTCTTTCAATCCTCTTCTGGCTTACGTGATTGCTCTGGTTGTGACCGCCTATTATAAGAACAAGGGAGGCCATCTTCGGGAGGAAGTTGACAAATGGTGCCTTATCATTGCCTGCATGGGGATAGTGACTGTTGTCGCTAATTTCTTGCAACATTTTTACTTTGGCATTATGGGGGAGAAAATGACGGAGAGGGTTCGGAGGATGATGTTCTCAGGTACTATACTATACAACTTCCTTCTTCATAGTTTCCGTTACATGTTACTATGTTTACTTGCCTCACTTATTTGATTTTTCTCGGTGTAACAGCAATGTTACGTAACGAAGTCGGATGGTTTGATGAGGAAGATAACAGTCCAGACACATTATCCATGCGCTTAGCAAATGATGCCACTTTTGTCCGAGCTGCTTTCAGCAACAGGCTTTCGATATTTATTCAGGATAGTTTCGCTGTTATTGTTGCTATTCTTATTGGGTTGTTGCTTGGTTGGCGGTTGGCACTCGTTGCATTGGCCACTCTTCCAATACTTGCTCTTTCTGCCACTGCTCAGGTTTATATCTATTCTTTGGTCTCCCCCCCCCAGCTCCTGTTTTGCTCGTCAAGACTTCTTAAGTTGTCTTTCTATTTCTATCCATCAGGCAGTTCTTCTCCAGTAGCCATATCCTCCTACTCGTTGAACATGTTTATGATTTTAGAGAGAAACAGTTTGAATTTCCGTAGTGATTTACCCAAATCGCTGTGTTCTTCGTATTTTTTGCCATCATAGCGCACTTTGTGTCGGGATATCTTTGTGTTCTAATAGTCTTTATTTGAAATTGCAATATTTGTGCAGAAACTATGGCTTGCTGGATTCTCAAAAGGCATCCAGGAGATGCATAGGAAAGCGTCTTTAGTCCTCGAGGATGCTGTTAGAAACATTTATACCGTCGTTGCTTTCTGCGCCGGTAACAAAGTGATGGAACTCTACAGACTGCAACTCCAAAGAATACTCAGGCAGAGCTTCTTCCATGGGATGGCTATCGGTTTCTTGTTTGGCTTCTCTCAGTTCCTTCTCTTTGCCTGCAATGCCCTCCTCCTGTGGTACACTGCACTGTCCGTCGAACGTGGCTACATGAAACTGTCTACAGCTGTGACGGAATACATGGTTTTCTCCTTCGCTACATTTGCTTTAGTGGAACCGTTCGGATTAGCACCGTACATTCTCAAGCGGCGTAAGTCCCTCATTTCGGTATTTGAAATCATAGATCGGGTGCCTAGGATCGAACCAGATGATAATGCAGCTCTAAAGCCGCCTAATGTGTATGGAAGCATCGAACTGAAAAACGTGGATTTTTGTTACCCAACTCGGCCAGAGGTGTTGGTATTGAGCAACTTCAGTCTCAAAGTGAACGGTGGACAGACTGTGGCTGTAGTTGGTGTCTCGGGTTCGGGAAAGAGCACGATAATATCGTTGATCGAGAGATTTTATGACCCAGTTGCTGGTCAGGTACTACTCGACGGGCGGGACTTGAAGTCATATAACTTGAGATGGCTGAGAAGCCATATGGGTCTGGTTCAACAGGAACCGATAATCTTTTCCACGACCATAAGGGAGAACATTATATATGCGAGGCATAACGCGAGTGAAGCCGAGATGAAAGAGGCAGCGAGAATAGCAAACGCCCACCATTTCATCAGCAGTTTGCCTCATGGATACGACACGCACGTCGGGATGAGAGGAGTGGAACTCACTCCGGGCCAGAAACAGAGGATAGCTATAGCGAGGGTCGTGCTGAAGAACGCACCAATCCTATTACTAGACGAGGCCAGCTCCTCTATCGAATCCGAGTCGAGCCGTGTCGTGCAGGAGGCTCTCGACACATTGATAATGGGGAACAAAACTACGATTCTGATAGCTCACAGGGCGGCGATGATGAGGCATGTGGACAACATTGTGGTTCTCAACGGCGGGAGAATAGTTGAAGAAGGAACCCACGATTCGTTGGTTGCAAAGAACGGATTGTATGTCCGTTTGATGCAACCGCATTTCGGCAAGGGGCTGCGTCAACATCGACTAATATGAAGATTGACTTCTCGTCTCGTCTCAGATCATCGCTTTACAGCTTAGCTCGGTTCATATACACAAAAAGGCATTGCGCCTGTATTGTCAACCTTCGTGATATCTGGACGTTGCCCGCAGCTGTTCGGGGATCCCCGCGGTTTGGGTGGAAAGGGATAGTTCTGTAGCAATAGGTGTTGGTAGAAGTAGATTCTCGAGGGTGTTTTTGTGGAAGGCTTATTCTTTTCGGGGACGAAGAAGCAAAAGAAGTAGGAGGATGTGGTGGTCTCACTGCGTTGTCTTCCCCAAGTATATCGATTTGTTGATTGAATCCGAAGAATAGTGGGGTGTGTCAAATTTTCCGAGGTTTGTTTTCTCTTTTTTTCGTTTTCGGGGAACATATCGGTGCCCTCAGAGACATGGACGATGTTTGTAAAGCTTAAAAAGGTACATGGAGAATGTGTAACGTTAAAAAAAGAAGAGAGAAAGACCCGTCGGTGTAAGTGAAAGGGGCACTGCTTGAATCGTCGTAGACAGTATCCGGCTTCTTTTGGACGAGAAAACCCCAGTACCCGACGACTGCGAGTATCCATCTCACGGATATCCGTTTCTTGAGAATCCGATCGCCAGCAATGACTGAGGTCGGATTTCTTTGGTCGATTGCCTGTACCCGCAGAGACGGGGAGAGATGGTAAGGTCGAACTAAAGGAGAACGGGAGAAAGGTGCGGCGAGGGCGGGATGGCGCTTTGCATGAGGCTAGGGGTTAGTTTTTTTGTAACTCGAATGCGAGGGTGAGGGCAACGATGGCATTCCGTTGAAAAAAAGTTAAATCCCTTCTCTTTCGTCTTCGCTCGCGCCTTGCGAGACTCAAATCTGAGGGGCAGGACTTCGTCAAGTCTCACCGTGAGAGAACGAGAAGGATACCTGTTTCGAGACAAGGGTGAGGTGCGGCGGACAACGAGGGAGGCGAGGCCTAGACCGGATATGTCGAAAACCTCGAATTTCCGTCTAAATGGGGACGATCGAACAAGAATCATGAGCATCAATAATCAATCGATTTCTATCAAGATTAAAAGCTTTTTAAAAAGGTGGTTTGTATGAAAAATTTAACCGTATTTCAACAACATGAAAAATACTTGTTTAATAAAAAAAATCCAAGGAGTTGAACGGAAAATTTATTTCTCCTTAAACAGTTGATTTTCTTACAACATTGTACATTGTTGGAGATTGTTGTTGAGAGGTAAATAACTCTAGTTCCTTCATTGGGTTTTCTTCTCTTCACTAATTATCCATCAGTTTCCATCTCACGTGGAACTCACGTGCGCTTTGAGATCGTTTTTAACAATAAATATATTTGATACCACATAAAAAGACGAAAAGCAAAAGATTTTGATTTACTAAAAACATTAACTTGAATGATTCATTTCTAATACTATATCAAATCGAACAGGGCTATAAAGATTCTGTAAATCCAAAAGAAATCATTTACCTTAGCACGATAAGCCACAAAAATGAAGTAAAATACAAAATGTCAAATGTCACGATTTAAAATATATAAAAGAAAATGATAATATATTTTCATTTTATATTATAAAAAAACGATAAAAGAGACGCCTTGAAACGATGAAGCAAATGAAATGAGAACGTATGGTCATTTCTCGTCACACACTTGATCACATGATGTAATGAAAACATATAATTCTCTAACAAAACTGATTCAATGTTTAAAAGAGATATTGCAGCGACAACAGCTTAGATGATGCCTATTTTGTTAGCCACATCCAAAGCATCGTAATCAGGAGTGAGCCTCACATACGCCTTCTTTGTTCCATCGGGCCTGCCAACATTTTCACGCATAACGTAAAGATCATATGAAACCATGTACGAATACAAAAATCTGATATTAGTCAATCGATGGGGACGAATACGAGCAAGGCGAGAACCCAAGGTTCAAGTAGAGTTTTGAAGTTTTCATATGATTTTTATAGAGCATGAAATGTTCGTGGGGCAAATCCAAATGAATATTGGTCTCACATCGTCCAAGAAAACTGAACCATTCCATACCCTATAAAAATCATCTACAGATCAATCACGGGTAGTCAAGACTTTTGGAACACTCTGCGGGTACCAAAATGGTACAGATACCGAGACAGATTCCAAACCTTAACACTCGAAAGGCATGGGTTTGGTGTCGGGTACCACAAAATCACGTGAACCCGACCTATGCCCAAACCCTAGGTCCTTAGCTTGAAACATTCGACATGTGAAGACACACAAGAAATCAAAAGGAGAACCTAGTTTCTTTCAAAAGGTACCTGATCAAGGTGTTGACTTTCTTTGTCTGAATGTCGTACATCTTCTTGACCGCGTCCTTGATCTTCTTCTTGTCAGCACGGATGTCAACGATGAACACAAGGGTGTTGTTGTCCTCAATCTTCTTCATCGCAGATTCGGTGGTTAGAGGATACTTTAGGATTTGGTAGTGATCCAACTTGTTCCTCGGTGGTGCGCTGATTCGTGGGTACTTAGGGTTTCTCGCCTTTGTCAATGTCTTTGGCCTGTGGAATGTCACCTTAGTCCTTATCTTCTTTGCCGACTTCTTAACGATCTGGCCAGATTTCACGGCCTTTGCAGCCTTCACGGCTTGGGCCTTGGGATCGACCTTTTTGGTGCTATCAACTGCATAACAACAATGAGTATTGAAGCTTATCACGCATCCGGTCTTAAGAACTGTAAAAATCTGAGATTTGAATCTATTAAACACTTCTAAGATTTCATAAAATAATAATCAATAAAAAACGATTCTAGGCTTTCACATACAATTTGTAGAAAAATGCTACTTACCAAACACATTGAGAGGAAATATAAGTGCATACAACTCACATTTGATGCTAACTCAGACAGCAATCATACAGAACCGATCAACAACAATTTAGAACAATTACGACAATGACCATGCCAGTTGTGCAGACCATACTCAGCGATATCAACTGTAATGACATCGTACATTCGTCACATTCACTTCGTTACATTCGTAGAACACCAAATTCTGTGTTCCGACATTGAATACCACTCAAACACACTGCAATACAATGAAACTAAAAGCATCCTAAGAATTTCATATCATTTGCAAACCAATTCGAATAGTATCCTGATCCTGATAGCAAAAAATTCATCCTGCATTCACCATTAACACAAGAAACATTTTCTGGCCGAGAAATGTAACTGAAGGCATCATCATCATCGTCATCATGATGATAAAAAGTTGCAATGTTCGAAAAGGTTACTATACACAGAAATAACAAAGGAATGCGTTTTCCATGAACATTAAAGTGAGACTCCCCATAAAAAAGCAATCAAAAGAAACATCGAACTCAGCGAGTACCTTTGGCCGGAGACATTGCTTAAAACCGATGATCCTTCCCACCAAATCTCCTAAACCCTGAGACAACTCACGAAAACCAAACTCACTCAGATTCGAACATACAGTAACTACAAAGATTCAAGCTCTTGGCTAGAAGTAATCGCATTTGGCTACTAGATTCGGAATCTGTACCGAAACTCATCATCACTACACTTACAATTAAATCAACGTAGAAGCTAACGAAAACTGGATAAATCAGTATGAGATCGAAGATTGAGTGAAGGAAGAGGAGAGGACGAACCTAAAGTCGCAGTCACAGAATTCTGCCGCCGTCGAATGGAGAGGGAGAACACTGGCATTTTATATGGCCACACTGGAAAAACCCTAGCACATTGGGCTGAATCCAAAAGCCGACAACAACAATATGTACTGTTTGGGCCGGGCCCATATAATGGTCGAATTTGGATAGGCTTTTGTGATGCTGATTTTTCAGTTTTATGTAATTAGTATCTAATGTTACAATAAATCTCATGTAATTACCCTATGAAATAACAATTATAATCGATTCTCTATGAAATTATCGAGAATGGTATTAACTAAAATAAAAAAAGCAAATATGATTGTATGTTTTCATTTTTATTTAATTTATGAATTATGAATTGTTTGTCTCAACGTCAAACCCATTGGAATTGGAATCAAGATCCGTAGAGTGAATCATCTTCTATCCTAATGCGATTGAAGAGAAATATCTAAATAATTTACACATTTATATTTCATTATTTTACAAAAGTTAGGATTATATATACGGAATAAATAAATTATTAAAATCTAAAATGTTCAAGCATGAACAGGATTAAATTTCTTTTTGTCACTCATTAATATATAAACAAATTCATTCGATATAAATAAAATTTTGAAAAAACTCTAACCAAATCAGATCTGAAATAATCAAATTAAACCAATCACTTATCGCGAAAAGAGAACGCAGTTCAGAAGCCAACATGAAAGCAAAGGGACAATATCCCATAAAACCACTTCCGGTTCAGACAAGACGACATTCTTCACATGGAGGGTACGGACACAGGCAATATGATAAGAACGAGGAAGATAAGATTGATGGATCACTGAACGTAGCAAGAGCCGGGACCGGACGGTGGTCTCCGTCCATACTTGTTGTCCACAGGAGCGGCTGGGACGCCGCGTTGGTTCAGTAGGCACCTGAAGTAATGCAACCGCGGCAAAGCGGTTAACGTTATGTTCCCCTTCGAGACAGCTTCCCTCTTGCTCCACAACCTCTCTGTCCCCATCAAAAAAAAAAGTTTCCAAATCAAATTTCAGACAATTCCCCTCCAAGTGTTTTCCCACAACAAGAAACAACTTAGTAAGAGACAATTGTTGGATCATTTTCACGTTCGGTTTATTGTTAATTCGGTAGAATAATCAACAGTATGCGTACCTGCAGCAGCTGCAGCCCGGGGCCAAATCGTCTGAAGAACGTCGGAGGAATCAGCTGTTTCGCCCCACATGCAGACTTCTCCTCCGATCACGAGTTTTTCGAGCGAAGTATCGTTGATTCCTTTGAGGGGCTCTGTCCTGTAAACTGCATCCCATGGCACGTCTAGATGATCGAGGTACCAATATCCCGAGTAACTAAAGATACATCTGAACCCTTTCGCCACCGCCTTCGGACAAATATCGTTCTCTAGCCTGTGAGAAAATGATCATCAGATCACAAAGTGTCTTCTTTTTACTCCGCGATTAAAAAAAGAAAAGACGAACATCCTACATTGTTATGATCTTACCAGTTGTGTACAACGGTTCGAGGATCAAGTTTGTCTCCGAACGATTTGAAGGTTTCTTCCCTGAGACAAGAATATTCATGTCACATTTTGACACCCAAACTGAAACAAACTTGTTCTGTCAGAATCCACGGCTTTTAATACCGGATCGGATCCTTAATATTATGTACCAGTTGACGGGAGTCCAATTCTTCGAAATTGCTATCTGTTGAGCTCGGAGTACAAAGTACTCATAAGCGTCCTTAGTTGTAATATTACGATACCGCAGCCTGCAGTAAGATTCAAGAAGAAATCAAGCAAAAAATGGCCAGAGAAATGCAATAAAGAACCATTGTGGATCTGATTTCTGCAGATGGGTTCTCATCGAAACGAGGTTAAATGCCAAAATAATGTCAAACAGTCAAAGTAAACATATTGTTTTCATACGAAACAAGAATCATTATACTGATTGATTTAGTTGGATGGGAAGATATATGCCATGGACCGACAAAAGTAACATGCAACCGTACCATTCATTCACATGAGTTGTGTTTTTCCAGCAATCTGCAAAAGAAATGAAAACATTGGTCAAAGGGAAGCAAGCGAAACAGGGAGAAAGGACAGCGTGGAAACAAAGTAGAGATGGAAGCTTAACCTGTATTGACTTCATCACCACCCAAGTGGAAAAGCTCAAATGGGAATATCTTCCTCAGATCTGATACAGAGGAAAAACGCAGGATAAGGCCAAGAGAATTCATAATTCTGTGGTTCAAGATCTGAACTAGAGATTTGAATTAGACCTCCCAAAATGCCAGAAATCACATCAAATGTAAAGTTCTTGGAGACATCCAGAGGCTCGCGGCAAGAAGGAGAAGGCCAGAGATCGGGATATCCAGTTCCCCTGCAGTGCAAATCAGGCAATATGTTCAAAAAGAACAAGCAAAATACTGTAAGAAAGGCGGAATTCTCTACAGGTCAATAATGACATTTAAAACCTATTGCCTTACCACGATTCTGCATGACCAGGGACATCTATTTCAGCCATGACATTGATGCCTGCAATAAGCATATTACAAAGCATGAGCGGAGTAGACGGTCTGGCAGAGACTTCAGAAGCGTAATTAGGCGGCTTAAACAAGTATATGCAACTTGTGAAAGCTTAATAATCATATTAACCTTATATATATATATATATATATATATGTATGTATGTGTGTACCTCTCATTTTAGCAAACCTTCACAATGGCAGAACATGAGACACAAGGAAAGTCATTTGTTATTATGAAATGCGTTAGAAGATGAGAGAGACGGGGGAAAATGGTAAAGGCAAAACCAATAGTCGCATTTATGTAAATATGTACGGACGGCTCTACTATATAAGATAATTTGGCAATGAAGAAAACTTAAAACCGATACCTGACAATTTCGTATGCATCCTCGACAGTATACTTTTCCCATTTCGAATAAGCTCCTTTCCACAAATTTGGGTATGTGGGTGTTTCAACAGGAAACGACTCCTCATCCACGATGTGCCAGTGCAGTACGTTCTACCAAGCATAACCACGTGCGCCACAACAAGGGAAGAAAATCGATGTCAGATACATTTTGAAGGTCGGTTCAATTTCTAGGCAGACATAAAAACAAGTAAGATATCTTACAAATTTAGCGAAGGACATGGACTCAATTATCTGCTTAATAACATCAAGCGGCAAAAAATGTCTCGAAGTATCTGCAAATGAAATAATCGGTAAGTGATATCCAGGCATTTTCCTTCACCGTGGATGCGGGAAAAAAACAACTATAGAGAGCAAGATAGATGATTTACCTATAAGAAGGCCACGGTATTTGAATCTTGGTTGGTCTTGTATATACCAGGGTGCTTTATATATTTGAACAGATTTGGTCAGATAATCAAAGGCACACAACTGGCTAAATGTCTGCAAAATGTTCAGTAAAGGAAACTTATAAGCAAAAATACATAAACGATCAGCGGAAAGAGACTTGAAATTCTTGGGAAACAGTTCAGGACACATTAACCGGAAGAAGTAGTAAAAAGGGGCGCCCGCAAGGACAGGCAAGAGATAGCTTATCAAGACATGAGGTGAAAATAGCAAAAAGGGGCTATCTTTAGATCCAGGGATCAAGATAAAGAAACTCAACTCTAGTTTTCATAGCTTCAGAACGAAATCGATAAGGGACGGGATACATAACATTCCAACCCAAAATAACACATGAATTGTAACGGTTTCTGTAGAGTTACACCCCGATAAACATCCCCCGACATAGCCACCAAAACTCTATATAGTCTTTTATACTTCAGCTAAGCTGAAACATAACGAATTTTCGAGCCGCAAAAAACAACAAATTGTCATCCAGAAGAACAAACAAAACCAAACTATGTTGGTAGATGTTTTCTCAAAGATGTAACCACGGCCAAATTCAGCTTCAACCTCATCACAGTAGAGAAAAAACAGAGCCATGCTCTTACACACCTCCAATCCTCTGAGGGCACCATAAACTGTATTTGCCTGAAACCACAAGGAAAAGAACCAAATCAAGAAAACAAGAGCAGCAACATGACTGAACAGATATCAGGCAAGAATCTCAAAATCTATGTTAAGTCCAATTGACAGAACTGGAAAACAAGAACAGGAAGAGGTATAACTGAGAATGAAAGCAAAACCGGCGTCAAACCCTGACCTCAATTGTAGCTCCTCCTACAATAGATTGATAATTGTTCTTCGACACCATCAATGTGTAGCCCTCATCTACACCCAATTGCAACTGACATCGAACACAGAACAAACCCGATCAAGATCTGGAGATAAAAATTTCAAGAACCCTTTCAAAAGAACATGAAAATGGTCCAGAAAGCTTCGAAATTGCCAGTAAAGAGAACAGATACTCTATTTTCACCTCTTCACTATCCGAGTGAACCACGATCTTCAGAGAAGTGATATCATAGTGAGCTCCTCTAAAAAATCTACTTCTCCCAGCTCTATCCACAACGTGCTTGAATATTATCCCCACGTATCTACCGAACGCGGCCTTGACAATCGGCGAATTTCCACCATTCCCGGCGGCGATCAGCGAGATGGCGGGATCCACCGAGAGGGTCTCGTCGCCGGAGGAGAATTCGGCCGGCAACGGCCATATGAAGGGGAGAGAATCGCCTTGAATCTCCGGTGAAGGCGAAGATATCGATGAAGTAACCCATAACGAGAGAAGAACGAAGAGGGTATGGATCGTGGAAAGATTCACTGCCATTTTGGAAAGAACTTCAATGGATTCCGACGATTTTGTCACAGAAAAGGAACGAAGAAAGTAAAAAAGGGGCGACCTTTTTAGCTCCGATGAGGGAGGACGCTCGTCACGGGAACTAAAACATTACAATTACAACGTTCGATTCAATCGAAAATTCGAACACTCCATAGCTAAGAGCGGAATGCTCTTCAAAAATCACTCGCCGCACTCTGCGTCTGAAATCAGACAGAGTCCAATGTCTTTTTGTTTGTTTTTTTTAAAACACTTACGACACCATGGATATAATTATTAAATTAAAACAAACAATCATTAATCCTAATCGGTTGCTTATCTCTGTGACCTCTTGTTTGTTTAGATGACGAGTTCTGCCACGTGTTTTTTCAGGATTTTTTGTGTTTTTATATCATCAATTTAAATTATGTAACTATTTTAATGTATAAATTTAGTATTTATAAGATTTATTATAAGATATCATATTTTATTGAGATAGGTATATTTAATGTTTTAAAACATCAAAGAAGTGAAAAAACTGTAAGATATTGGAAAAATGTAGATTTTAGGGGGGAAATTTTATTTGGTCGCGGGCTAGGCTCGGACATAAAAATTTTGGTCTGGATAATATATAAATAAACTTGACCCGACGGACCACCTCCACCAAACTGCAATAATGTAACATAATGAATAAATAAACTAATTTAACCGATATATTGAAAACACTCAATATACAAATTCGTCCGGTGGTGTAATAAATATATTCTTCAATAGGGTTTTCGAATTTTTAGCCTATAAAGGAAAAAATTTGGAAAATACATATATTTTATTCTGTAAATACGTGTTGATAATTTTTATAGATTCGTATTTAAATATGTCTATATATATAAGCATTTTCTTTTAATTCAGAAAATATACGTTATCATGCATCGGTGGTCCTGATATTTATTTATTTATTTTTTTTAATAATCCGGAAGTTCACCGAGCCTTTGATCCAACTACATCTTCCAAGAGGATCGGGACAGTCTATGTGAAAACCCCTCCCCAACCAGAAATCGAACCGCCAACCTCTGAATATTTTGCACTCATCTGCTGACCACTCGCCCACAAGCTGTTGGGTGGTCCTGATAATTTGATAATTTTACTCTCCACTAACAAAAACTTCCCCTTACGCCATCCAATTTACATTTAAAATACCAAAATACAATTAGCCATCAAACCCGTCCAAGTTAAAACATTATTCGAGTGGGTGCTATCATAAAAGTAAGATTTTTTGGTCTCCTATCTTTTTTATCATATTTATAAATAGCTTTTTTTTTTTTATAATTCGATCAAATTCATTTGGGTATGTTAAATCTTGGTTACAAATTTAAATATTACTATACCATTACTGTTATAAGAAAGTGTTGTACATTTTATATAATTTTTGTTTATTTTTATAATTTTGGTTTTATGGAAAATCTGTCTAACAAGATTTTTTCATCTGTAAAAAAAAGTTATTGCGATACTCCAACAATATCTCGTCCCAAGATCATCGTTGAATTATTATTTTTCCTACATGGAAAATCACATGAAATATTGTCTAATTAATTGTTCAGCTTGCGAAATCTACCACAATATATTATTTTTTATGCGAAATCTGTCATAAAAAATAATATATTTTAAAAGCAATATTGTAAAATAATTGTAAGTTAGATTTATTGTTTTATATAAAAAAACGTGAAAAAATATTCAAGAAAATTTTAGACCACGAACTTATAAAAGATATTAACACAGAGAAAAAAAAGTTTGAGAAAATTTTTTTCCTTTTTTTTGTTCAAATCACAGTTTGATTTTAATTCCTTTGCATGTGACTTTGATCTTTGTACGTATGAATTCGGTTTTCTAATATTATAAATTATTTAAGTTTTTTTCTCCTGATGTTACATTATATAGTATATTTTTTTATCATTCTCACCTTACAGTCGTTTTGTACACATATTAATGATGAAAATACCAAATACGTTTCTAACTTTAAATATTATAAATTGTGTATTGGGATTTATAAAGAATTACGGAGTAGAATTATTTATTATAGAATTATATGGAGTAAATCTATAATTCTACTAGAAAATTATAAATTAATCCTATTTGAACATTACCACTAATACTAAAGAATATAATTCGACAATAAATAACTCTAACTCTCCATAATTTACAATATATATGTTGAGATGCATATGGCTTTAAATATTTATCGGTGTGATATTGAATTTTGCAAAGTGATTTTAATTCATGAAGTACAGTTCTACTATTTTATCTGTTAATTTTATTTTTATGGACTATATATAAATATCTGACCATTTGTGTGTAATTAAAAAATCAGTAAAATATTAGTTTAATAAAGTTTTAAGGATGATTGTGATTGTAGGACACCTAAATGGATATCGATGGCTTGAAGCGCATTCTTCCGGATGGAGAACCAGTTCCCAAGTGAAGCACGCGAAATCATTGTCAATAATATGTAAAAATTGTGTGTGTGTATATATATATATATATATATATATTATATGAGAGTTATAGTATTGTGTTTTTTCTATAAAGTGTTTAGTATTGTCTCATGATGGACATTTACCTTAGACCCTAATTCAAGTTAGATCAAATTGTGTATTACAAATCTGAAACACTAAAAAATACTTTTTTAAGGGATATAATTTCAACTTGGTAGTTTAACCGGTGAAATGGAGATACGAAACATATGTTACGTTTCGACTTTGAATCTTAAATTAGGAAATCAGCCATATCAAAATATTTGCAGAAACGGACTTACGTCTGCTCGAACCACCATAAAATAAATCCATGAAGCATATCGACACAATTAGGGCCTACACCTTTGGCTCACATTACTTTGTGGAAGTAGACATCGTCGTGCATGCAGATATGCCCCTGCAAGTGGCACACGACATCGGAGAATCGCTCCAAAAGAAGCTCGAACTTCTACCCGAGATTGAACGAGCCTTCATGCACCTTGATTACGTGTCACAATGGTAAACACAACAGACGAAGAGAAGAGAGTCAAATGGGAAAACTTGCTTTTACTCAGAGCATTGACTTGCTTATATGTACAAGAGAGATCCAATTAAGAATTAGATATACAAGGAGCAAATCCCTCTCAGATTCGATATAAAAGGTAGTTGACTATATCTAATAATATACGAGATGTGTACAGAATATTCTCACCCAATACCCCCCTCAAGTTGGTGAGTGCAAGTTTTGCAAACCCAACTTACCAAGAAACCATGTAAATTCCTTCATGCCTAAGGCTTTGGTAAAAATGTCTGCGAGCTGCTCACGAGTGGAGACGTGACGTGTAACAATATTCCCGTGATCGATATGATGTCGGATGAAATGACAATCGATTTCGATATGCTTCGTACGCTCATGAAAAACGTCATTGGAAATGATGTGGAGGGCCGCTTGACTATCACACAACAACAACATCGGGTCCGAGTGGGAAACACCAAGACTAGAAAGGAGACTCTTGATCCATAGAAATTTGTAAGTAACCTGATGCATGGCACGATATTCAGACTCAGGCGAAGACAGGGAAGGTATAGATTGCTTCTTAGTTTTCCAAGATATTGGCGACGTGCCAAGTTGAAAAAACCAACCGCTCAAAGATTTGCGGGTGATAGGACAACCGGCGTAGTCAGCATCACACCATCCGCGCAATCGTAAGTCGCAGTCTGATCGAAACAAAACACCTTGGCCCGGATCACGCTTCAAGTAGCGGACGACGTGAATGGTAGCATCCCAATGGTCTTGTCGAGGATGCTGCATAAACTGGGACAATGTGTGAATCGAGTAGGCGAGCTCCGGACGAGTAACTGTAAGGTAGATAAGACGACCCACAAGGCGGCGATAGCTACCTGGATCAGACAGAAATGGGCTGGCGGAAAGGGACAGACAATGATTCTGATCTAACGGAAAATGTGCAGGTTTACAACCGAGTAAGCCGACTTCGGAGATGATGTCAAGAGCATATTTCCGTTGGCAGATATAGATCCCTTCGGTGTTCCGAGCGACCTCCAAACCGAGAAAATACTTGAGGACACCTAGATCTTTCATATAAAAACAAGAACTGAGGTACGACTTGAAGGCATGTAAAGCGACGGGTGAGTTGTCGGAGATAATCAAATCATCGACATAAACGAGAACATACACCTGTACGGTGCCATCACGGAACGTGAAAAGGGAATGATCCGATTAAGATTGAGTGAACCCATATTGCTGTAGAGCCGACCGGAGTTTTTCGAACCAGTACCGTGGGGCTTGGCGAAGACCATATAGGGACTTTCGAAGATGACATACGTGGCCTGGTTCCGGAGATTCGAATCCCGGAGGCATGTGCATGAAAAATTCTTCCCGTAGATCGCCGTGGAGGAAGGCGTTATGGACATCCATCTGATGGATCTCCCATTGTCGGGCCGCAACAACTGCTAAGAATGTGCGCAACGGTAACCATTTTGGTGACCGGTGCGAACGTCTCTCCATAGTCTAATTCATTGACTTGCCGATTTCCCAAAACCACCAACTGAGCTTTATAAAGTTCAACCGAACCATCTGAGCGATACTTGATTTTAAAAATCCACTGACATCCGATGGCCTTTTTGCCCGGGGGAAGAGGTTCAACAGTTCAAGTATGATTGTTTTCCAGGGCATCAATCTCTGTTTTCATAGCTTCCTTCCACCGAGTATCACGAAGAGCTTCCTTATAAGATCGAGGTTCAACTCCTTCGGTAACAGTAGCTAGAAAAACACGGTGAGCAGGCGAAAATCGCGTACAACTAATAGAGTGTGTAATAGGATACGGGTTACCTGAGGGATGCCGAGGAGTGAGTGAAGAAGGGGACAGACTCGAGAGTGGACTATGCTAGTGACGTAGCCCTGAAGACGTGTGGACGGAAAACGGGTTCTTTTGTCGCGGCTAAGTTCTTCATCGGGAACAGAATCTGGAGGCGAATCAGAGCAACCCCCCTGTCGGAAATATCCTCGACGATCAAGTTCGAAGCAGTTTCAGTAGAGGACTCAACCTCCTTCGACACAACAGGTGCGGGGGATGCTGAGTCAGAGACAGGGGAATGAGGAGGTTGAGCCGAAGAGATCAACACAGAGTCGTCGTCTGCGAGAAACATAGGCCATGGATCCGGAGACGGCAGAACAACAGAGGGAGAAACCACCGAAGTGTCCAGGAAAGGAAACTTGTCTTCGCAAAAGACGACATCGCGAGAGACAAGAAATCGTCGGTTGTCGATATCGTAAAGCCGCCAACCTTTCTTGCCCGATGGACATCCAACAAAGACACAACGAACGCTACGAGATGCGAATTTGTCACCGCGAGTGTCCTTGTTATGAGAGTAACAGAGACAGCCCACAGTTCGGAGATGTGTATAGTCAGGAGATTTACCATAGATAATGTCGAAAGGTGAACGACCGGCCAATAACTTAGTGGGAGTGAGGTTGATGAGATAGCCCGCTGTCAATATACAACCGCCCCAAAATTCAATCGGAAAGTTGGTTTGAAACATCAAAGCATGTGCTACGTTGAGAATGTGCCGATGTTACCTTTCGACACGCCCGTTTTGTTGAGGAGTGTGAACACATGAAGTCTCATGTACAATCCCTTGAGCCCGGAAAGTACCGCCGAGACACAAAAACTCCGAGCCGTTGTCGGTGCGGACTGTCATAACTTTCTTGTCAAATTGGCGGTTTACCATGGCTATAAAGGTGACGAGAAGCTCAGAAACCTGACTTTTATCCAACAAAAGGTACAACCAAACGTCCCGTGAAAAATCATCAACGATAGTCAGAAAGTAACGAGCACCACTAAATAACGGCGTGCGGTATGGTCCCCATAAATCACAGTGTATAAGCTGGAAAATGTCAGATGTTTTATTAGAACTCAACTGAAAAGAATCACGTGTTTGTTTTGCACGAAAACAAATGTCACAATCAAAAGAAGAAGAACCAACAGGCCTAAGAAAACTTAATCCTGGAAATCTGCTCAAGAAGTGCTTTCGAAGGATGACCCAAACGTCGATGCCACACGTCAACAGAGGCCACATCACTAGAACGGACAACTGATGCGTGTTCGATCCTACGGAAGTAGTAGAGTCCGTCCCATAACTCACGCACTCCAATCAGCATCTTCGAAATCCGGTCCTGAATGAAGCACAAACTATTAGTAAATTGAACGATGTAATCACATTCAGCGAATAACTGAGAAACTGAAATAAGATTGACGTGAAGCCCTTTAACAAAAAACACGCCGGACAGAGCAAGTTATGGAGAAAGAGAGACAGATCCGGATGTAACCGCAACCGAATGTCGACCTCAGGGAGAATGATGTTGCACAGAGGTATGCAGACATGGTTGTGCAATTCAGCAAACCGACCCGTCAAATGATGTGAAGCTCATGTATCTAGGATCCATGGAACATTCGAAAACATACCTGAAGATACAGATGTCGCACCTATTTTTCCAGCATTGAGGAGAGAGACAAGCGTCTTCCACTGCTCATCATTCAGTCCTGAAAAGGATGAGGCCTCAGAGACAGCAGCAGCCGATGATGGAGGATCGAGAATACCAGGAGAGGCGGGTTGAGTCGAGTTAACCCGAACAGAACCTCTACCATGAGTAGAAGGCGAGGCACCACGACCGCGACCCCCGAACGAGTACGAGGACGATCGCCCCACCATTCCGGATAGCCCAGAATCTGGAAACAGCTATCGACGCCATGACCTGAACGTCCACAATTAGTGCAGACTATAGATTTGTCCTTCACCGAGGACACCACACGAGGCTTAGAGGCGACGTTGACAGAAAATGCCGCCACATCAGGGGAAGCCACCGAGAGAGCCACCGAATCTTTGGAAGCTTCATCTTGGGTAACCACCATGTAGGCTTCCTCGACCGTTGGCAAGGGTTGTCGGGAGAGCAAATTTGATCGCACGACACTGTACTTGTCATCATCAAGACCCAAGAGAAACTCGTACAAACGATCTTCCTGCCTTTGTTTTTCGAACTCCTCAGCGATGTTGCAAACACATAATCCACAAGGCAAGTCTTCAGTGTTCGGAAGGTGACCAAATCGTCCCATAACTTGGTGAGCTTGCCGAAATATGACTCTACAGTCATACCTTTTTGTCGACAGCTAGCGATATCACTCCGAACACGAAGAAGACGCGGAGCACTCGTCATTCCAGAACCTCTACCATGAGTAGAAGGCGAGGCACCACGACCGCGACCCCCGAACGAGTACGAGGACGATCGCCCCACCATTCCGGATAGCCCAGAATCTGGAAACAGCTATCGACGCCATGACCTGAACGTCCACAATTAGTGCAGACTATAGATTTGTCCTTCACCGAGGACACCACACGAGGCTTAGAGGCGACGTTGACAGAAAATGCCGCCACATCAGGGGAAGCCACCGAGAGAGCCACCGAATCTTTGGAAGCTTCATCTTGGGTAACCACCATGTAGGCTTCCTCGACCGTTGGCAAGGGTTGTCGGGAGAGCAAATTTGATCGCACGACACTGTACTTGTCATCATCAAGACCCAAGAGAAACTCGTACAAACGATCTTCCTGCCTTTGTTTTTCGAACTCCTCAGCGATGTTGCAAACACATAATCCACAAGGCAAGTCTTCAGTGTTCGGAAGGTGACCAAATCGTCCCATAACTTGGTGAGCTTGCCGAAATATGACTCTACAGTCATACCTTTTTGTCGACAGCTAGCGATATCACTCCGAACACGAAGAAGACGCGGAGCACTCGTCATTCCAAAACGACGTTTAAGGTAGTCCCACAAATCCTTGGTGAATTCGCGGTGAACCACATCGGAGCGTAAAGTAGGATCCAAGGTATTCTTGATCCAGGAAACAATAAGAGAATTGTTTGTTTCCCAGTCTTCATAAATCAGTCGAATCCGGATCAGGGGACGAAATCTTACCATCCACGAAACCGAACTTTTTCCGTGACTTCAAGGCATGTCTAATGTTGATGGACCATTCTTCGTAGTTAGGGCCGCGCAAGGGCGGCTGCGAGAGCACCAATCCCGGGTTATCACTAGGACTGAGATCATACGGAGATATAGTCCTACGTGGTGCTTCGATTGGCAAAGCAGTCGGGGTCGAGGTCATCGATGGATTAGTGGGATCGAGTCGAGAAGAGTTGGAAGAGGTATCGTGAGTAGAAGACATTGAAGAAAAGAAACGAAAACAACGAGATCAAGAGTCGTCGGGCTCTGATACCATGTTACAATGGTAAACACAGAGAAGAGAGTCGAATGGGAAAGCTTACCTTTACTCAAAACATTGACTTGCTTATATGTACAACAGAGATCCAACTAAGAATTAGATATATAAGGAGCAAATCCATCTCAGATCCGATATAAAAGGTAGTTGACTATATCTAATAATATACGAGATATGTACAGAATATTCTCACCCAATATTACGAGTATTGTCACAAGCCCGAGCACGCAAAAACTCACTGCTACGCTACAAAAGAGAAAAAACTCCGAGATTTTCGTTTCGTTATTCTAAAGTTTTATAAAGTTTTTCATATAGATTTGATTCAAAAGATGATGAGGGTAGTGAGTTCTTTAGTCACATCACATTGTTTCCCCGGTTCGTGCTGTCTACAGACTCGGAATATGCACATATATATATATATATATATATATCCGGCGCAATGAATCCGAGCATATTCGTGACCTGTCCTATTTTATTTTCTCTTGTCGGTTGCTTATATATGTGGACTACCCCTCTATGCATGTGTTGGATTTTTGTCCCACATCGGATGTTTTTGTAATGGGGGAGGGGAGCCAGGTGGTATAAGTAGGGGTGGGGTGGCAGCCTGGGAAAATTGCCTTAAACTAATGAGTAAGGAAAACAAAGCGAGCGGTGAGAGCCGGTCGCAGCGCTCATGAAAAACTGCGTAGCGCAAGAATTTATGGAGGGGTAATAGGCTGGCCGTTGCGTTGACGCTGCCTTACTTTTGGCAGAACTCGCTCGTGCGGGCCTCCCACGTGGACACCCATCCCCCAATTCCTCTTTAATCTCAAATTTCGAATCTCCATAATTGAACTCATTCTATCGAGTGTCTGTCGGATTAGGGTAAACCCTGTGTTTCACCTGGTGAGATCTTCTGATGTTCTGTCGTTTCTGGGATTTCTTCATTTCTCTGCTCGTTTTGGTGGGGGCTTCTTCTGTGATGGTTGTTGGGTCGAATTTTTTTGCTGTGCTAGATCATGTAAGAAAACCTCGATTGAGTTCATATGGTTTTTGCTTTCTGCAGAATGAGTGGAAGTTTTGCAAGCATATTCGATTTTCCCATAATTCATTCCCCGGTTCACTGTATATTTGGATTTGCGAAATGGTAAAATGGGTCCTCGTTGTTTGTCACTGAAATCGTTCGCTTGTATTTCTGTTTGCGTGCTGTGTGTAGTTGTAATTTGTTGCCCTCAATTCTTACCAGGATCCTAGCTTCGAGTTTTAGGGTTTCGATTCACGGCGAAGTAATCGAGCGTGGGTTGGAAGTGCATTTGATCATGTTGATCGACTCTATTAAATTGCTAAATGATCCTCTTTTTGTTGATAAGAGTTCTTATTCTGTATATATGGATTTGGAAATATCCAAATCAGATTGTCCTTCTATTCGGTTTACGATGATTTTTACCGAGGCTTGCAGCCGATTTGTAATTTAGGGTTTTCACCAATCATACATATTCGAAACGGTTGATGGAATATGATTTGCAGTGGTGGCATCTCAGCTCCTATTTCTGTGCCCATGGAAGAAGAGTGTTCAGTGAACAGTCCCAGAAGGGTCCTGAGCTTCTCAGAGAGGAGAAGGGCAAAAGCCGGTTTTCACGATTCAGACAGCAGAAGATCATCTGGGTTTGGAGTTTCAGGAGAGCATGGACCAAAGCCCTCTGAAGTTTATGGATTTGTCGGATGCATTTCGACGGTTGTTGCCACTGTGATCTTCTTGGTGTGGGCTTATGTTCCTGAGAGTGTGTTAGAGTCGGTAGGCATCCATTACTATCCGAGCCAGTATTGGGCAATCGCTCTACCGACATACCTGATGGTGACAGTGGTGTTAATGTTGGTGTTCTACATCGGCCTCAACTTCATGTCGACTCCATCCCCTTCCTCTCTCAACACATTGTTTGGTAAAACACCAGTACCAAAGCTTGAACGAGTTTTCGGTTACTTGCCATATTCAGCATTCTTTTGTTTTGTATTGTATTCCATTTGCTAACGACTTGCGGTAATGCATCTTCATTGCCATTTGAGAGTAGAACAGATAATTGCCTGTGGTGTTTGATTGGTTTAGTGATGTTTTTTTTTTGGCAGATGAGTACTGCAGAGAACCCGGGGACTTTGTTCCCGAGACAGAGGAGGAAGAGCAAGACCGGCCCATCGAGCCAATCTCGGACCTTGACATCACAAAAATTAACCACCTCATGTTCAATTCATGCCATGCCAACTGATGATGCTATATATATATCTGACGCTGTTGGGTTCAAGACTTGGATTCTTGTTATGTCTTTCGAGATTTTGAGTAGATCAGGTGAGCTTTTGCGCGGATTAATTTTTGGGCTCAAGACTTGGATTCTTGATATGTGTTCATATTGCTCATAGACTGAAGAGCAACTTCCTGTTCATCTGATGACAGCTAAAGCCATTCCATTTCAGTTCAGTTTGGTTTTTTTTTAAAGAGAGGCAAAACTGTTGGAATAGGGCCATGAACCACACAGCCTATCATAAAGCGTGACTGATTGAAGGTTTCGCTTCCATCCAATTACATAAAGACAAGAGGGAAGAATCGCTGCAAATTGGAAGGAACGATGGCGTAGAAAACAGAAGTAACACCGGCAATGTTTTATGTGTTTGTGTCCGTTTTTCAGACCAAACCCATTTCAGAATCTTAAATTTATTTGCCTAATTTTACCACCCATTATCTAGAGGGGTTAATCCCACAAAAAACCTCAAATTTATTAAAATGTGGTAGGAGAGATTGCTGACATGATGCTGATTAAATTACCACATCAATGCCACATCATTATTTTAAAAATTAAAATATTTGGTAAAAATATACATATGTACAAAAATATATATATATATATATAAATTTATATTTGATTAAAATATACTTATATATATATATATATTTGTAAATTTATATATTTGATTAAAATATTTGTATATTTAAAATTTTAATTTACAAACTTAATATATATACAAATATATATATGTATAGATATTTGATAAAAAAATGTATATATGTATGTATATAGGTATATGTATATATATATTTGTATATTTAAAATTTTAAATTATAAACTTAATATATATACAAATATATATGTATATATATTTGACCAAAAATTAGAAATTTATATTTAAATTTTTAAAATGATGACGTGATGCTGACGTGTCAACTCAGTCAATGTCATGTCAGCAATCCATCATGCCACATCAGCAAAATTTTTTGTCAAACAAGTCAAAGGTTTTATATGGAAGAAAATTGTAAGTTTGTAATTTTTGTGGAAGTTTTGACCGAATTCAGGATTTTTTGTGGAAGATTATAAGTTCAGAGTTTTATATATAGAACATTTTAACAAGTTTGGAGTTTTTTTTGGGATTAACCCAATAATAAAGATCTTTTTTCTTCGTTTTTGGCCCACTTTTTTTTCATGTTTACACGTTTTCCTCTATCAAGTAAAGACGTCAAGAATATCCCATCTGCCAATGCGGGAGATGTGAATCCAAGAAAGAGCACATGATTATTTTAAAACGATATACAAATATTTTAATCAAATATATAAATTTACATATATATATATATATAAATATATTTTAATCAAATATAAATTTATATACATATATTTGTAAATATATATTTTTTTTATCAAATATTTAAAATTTTAAAATGATGATGTGGCGCTGATGTGACAACTTAGTCAGCGCATGTCAGCAATCCGTCGTGCCACGTCAGCGAAATTTTTGGTCAAACAAGTCAAAGATTTTATATGAAAAAAATGATAAGTTTGTAATTTTTGTGGAAGTTTTTACCAATATACATATATTTGTAAATATATATTTTTTTTATCAAATATTTAAAATTTTAAAATGATGATGTGGCGCTGATGTGACAACTTAGTCAGCGCATGTCAGCAATCCGTCGTGCCACGTCAGCGAAATTTTTGGTCAAACAAGTCAAAGATTTTATATGAAAAAAATGATAAGTTTGTAATTTTTGTGGAAGTTTTTACCAATTTCAAGATTTTTTGTGGAAATTTATAAATTCAGGATTTTATATAGAACATTTATTTTAACAAATTTGAAGTTTTTTGTGGGATTAACCCTTATCTAGAGATACTAAACGTTAATTTGTTAGTGACAAGACAATCGGGCGCGTTTGTGTGTATAATATAAGCTACGGAATGATGACTTGTTGAACCGACAACGCCAAAGAAAAAGAGAGCAAAAAAGAAACCAACGTCGAGAGCGTTTTGGGCCTACGGCTATGTGATTTGGGTTGGGCTTTAGGAAGACAATCCCACATCGGAAACTTGAGCACAATCTAGGACGGGAGACAGCCTATAAAAGAGAACCGTAAGCCGACGCCGCAACATACTTACCTGGACGGGGTCAACCGACGATCAAGAAGGTCGGTGGCCTAGGCTAGTGACTTCCATTGCACATTTCGGAAGGGCGCTTAGCCTAAGGTCTCCCCAAGTTGGGAGAGCCTACGTCATAATTTGTGGCAGCGGGGGCCTGCGTTCGCGCGGCCCCTTCCAATTTTTTCAAACCCTTATTTTTCATTCTTATTTTCTTTGATTTTCTGAAAATCATGTCCAAATCTCCCGTCTGTTATCGTTTATTGGTACTTCAAATTTGGAATCGTGAATTCCTTGGTCCTTAGATTATAGAATGGGTTATTGATCTTCTCTTGCAAATTGTGTTGTAATTAGATTATGTTTCGTCTTTAATCAGAAATTTTAGATAATTGAACGTGTACATATAACAGTCATTAATAGAAAATCTTGCGAATTCTCATTTCGCTCCTTGTCTGTTTTCGAATCACTGAAATGGAATCTGAGGAATTATTTTTATCTTCCCGGTGATCATCCTTCATATATTGAATAACAATATTCTCTTCACATTTAATTTTTTGTTCCCGAATTTCTGGTGTAAGAGGCGTTTTGTATACGGGGGAGTGTTAGCTTGGCGAGACACTCTGGCCCTTTGAAGAAGCGAATAGCAAACACAAAACAGTACCCATAAGGAATGATCTCTATAGCGATCGAGTTTCTATATCAAGAAACCATTGATGATGATGATGAGTCATAAGTAAACTGAAGTCATGAAACACAACTCCCACGTAAATGTTGTTGATGTCTTACATCAAAAACGTGTCTGGATTCATTTGTTTGGAACATATACACACATGAATTTCAAACACAATAACTACCTGAAAACACAGGCTTCCCCCCTTTTGGCTTCAGACATGATAACTAACTACTCGAGAGAGAGAGAGAGACGTACCACATGAACGATCTTGTGTTAGATGATCTTATTCCTAACGTCTTCGAGTTTCTTCAGTATCTCGGCAGGAGTTCTATCCAACTCGTCCGCTATTTTCCTCTGCAAGTCCATCGGTAGTGTTGGGAACTGCTCGCAAAGATCTCCATCTATTACATCCTGCAACAGAAAACCGCGTAAATCATAACACCACAGCTTCAAGAATATGGAAAACCCTAAAGAAAACTACACATTCTAACGAATGGAATGTGATTACCTTGACCGGGAAATATGCAGATCGATAAGCCATATGATCTCTTCCACACAGAGGAGGATGTTCTTGCCTCAGGTGCATCTCCAGATGAGAAAAGAAATCAACATCGTCACGGGACGTGAAAGCATGTAATGCCCCCAAACTACCCATGACTGTTCCATAAATCATGCACTCAGATCCACCCGGGATCATCGAGGCTTTCTGCAAGCTCGTCACCACGTCGCCCACATGAAACTGTACAATCTCCTCCACTTTGTTTGGTGCTCCATTCAGCTTTCCTTGCTCCCACTTGATTTTCCCACCAGTTGGGTCTTCTTCAATCTCATCAGATAAATCCTGAGGCAACCTTGCAAAATATATGTTCCCGAATTTATCCGCACCTGCCATGGTGTCGAAATCCACCTGCTGTGACGCTGTAAGCCATCTAGGTACAGAGTCATCAGCAAATATGTAGAGCTGATTCTCATCCCGTCTGTACTTGCAGTAATGGAAAGACTGCAATTGGGGTAAAAGGGTTCCACATTAATCATCAGAAGATACGTGAATGATAAGAGGGGAGAAAGGACCGAGACATGTCATTCCAACAGCTAATCAAATAATTCAAAGACTGCAACATACATATTAGAAAGTAATGTAAGAGTAATATGATTCTTACCTCCTGGATATCACCAACATAAATTCGATCACGGTAAGTCTGGATGGTGATAACAGTGTTGGGGAAGAGTTTGTTTTCACATTTCCTAAGCAGTCTCTTCTTCCCCAAGTCATACAACCTGAGAACAGGTCCTATTCCAGCCAGCAGTCTTCCCTGAAATTGGCATAAGGCAAGAGGAATACCTTCTACTTGAGTCTTGTGAAGAAGTTCGAGGGATTTTCCATCATCCAGAAACCTGTAAATATGAATGAACCCGGCTACAACATTCTTTTTAGGCAAGAACTGCAGTCCCTTTGCCGTACCAACAGCCAACAACGTGCCATACTCCTTATCATGAAAATTCACTGTGCAAATACTAAATGCAGCTTCATTATCCTGAAGTTCCAGGAGACATGTTGTAGTAGCCGTCTTAGGATCAAGGACCCTGATGCAAGAAACCCATTTTTCTGATTCGGATTTTGGATAACCATACTGCTCATCAGAAAGCGGGTCTTCCTTATCATCATCATCAGCACCATTCTCCATCTGATCTGAACTAGCATTACCATTTTCTCCCATTCCAGCAGACTCAAAACATTCTTTTCTTGCTGCTTCACGCTCTTCTGCAGTGAATGCTCCCTGGTCACTCTCAATGACAACCAATAACTTCCGCCTGGGTTGGAGAACAAACTTTCTTGGCGTGTATCTTAACGGAATCATAGTTTCATTAAATGTTTCTCCGAGTCTTTCAATCATAAAAATTCTAAGAGCATCCCCAGCAACAGAAACAACACCTTCAGCACATTGATCAGATGAAAAGGGGGCAGCAAATTCCAAAGTCTCATAAGACAGAGGTGTCAACTGGAAATGTCCCTGATGAATATAACCAAGCCAAGGTCGACTGGACAAACACAGCATTGCAGGGCGGCCTCTCACAGCAATGGAAAACAGCTTTGGAGGCTTCAGCCCCAGAAATCGAGAACGGGAATCAGAAAGCTGACCCGTCACCATGTCCACTACCGTTCTGAAAAGAACCCCATTCTGCAAACCAGCATTAAGGAAGAGGCTTGCAGGGTGATCAGCACCATCCTCTCCACCAACAGATGCCTGAACTTCAAGGAATAGCAAAGATTCTGGGGCTGCAGAGACACTTTGCACGCTAAGAATCTGCAGACAGTCATCGGGATCCAAAGATAGAATACGAACAGTATTATCGTAAGACCCCACGGCAAGGAAACGAGATCTCTGTCTTCCTTCAGGAACCGGGGCAATGTCCAAGCATGCTACATCCCCAGACATTTCATGTTTCTCTACCTCCATCAGCTGACCAGTCATATCTGCCTCAAAATAAATTAGCTCTCCACCAGTCAATGCAATGACCACTTGAAGCCTATTATAGCCAACTTTAACAATTGACCTCTTGCCGGGAGTTCTCCACTCATTTATACGGCCATCTTCCCTTATGTGGCGAATTCCATTAGGATGAACTTGCATGAGAGAATCATCACCGATCAGGGATACAGCAAGGGAGGGGGTAGTGTCAAGAAATCCACTATCACTAACTTCTTCGACTGTTTCACCGATTGAAAGCACAAGAGTGGCACTGGTAAAAGAGACAACAATGTATGCATCAAATTCATCATTGACATTCTTTTTCACCGTCCATACGGCACTTGGGAGTCCAGGAAGCTGTGAGACAGCCATCTCACTGATGGCCAAACCAGGCCTCAGAATCCTCAGAGAAGAACGCGGACCCCGTCCACACAGTGAAAAGATCTGAGGAGTTTCTTCCTCGAAAAGATTTATGACTTTCATGTCCATAATTGGCATCAGACTCTCAACTTGGTCTATCCTAACAAGGTTCTTTAGTCTTCTAGGTTGAAAAAATACTGGCTGGAAACCTTCTTCAGTCTCCATTAAATTAGCTGAGGAAGACTCTACGTCAGGCTCCTCCCCTATAGCCTGGAACTGATACAAACCATGATTTCCAAACTCCGAAGCAGCAAAGAGAAATCCAGACTTCAGTACACATATGGAAGCAGCAACAGGGATTGTGTCAAAATACTTGATCCTCAGCTCTGAGACATGATCGCCGTCGTGATCCAAAGTAACCTTAAAAATATCCCCGTACTCAGTCTGCAACAGAAAGAAAAACATGGACTTTTGCTTATGGGTGGCAGCTGAAACTACTAACACCCCTCGTTCAGCTGGCAAATCAGTTCGTCTAGGAATTACTGCTCTCACATCTGGTTGACCCTGATTTTTGTATATGACAAAATTCTCTGCACAGACCAAAACTCCACTTGGCCCATCGGCTCCTCCGGGAACAGTGACAAGCATATTGGCGCCGTTATCAACTGGCTCGGACCATTTCCTAGAGACATGGTTGAGCCCCAAATCGAGCTCGTAGAAAGTCAAATGCTTCTGAGCCTCACTCGCAGCCTGACCAGTTGGATCCTGATCTGCCTCTGAGTAATCAAGCTCAATAGATGCAAAGATTGGGTTATCAAACCCACAATCCACACCACAGATAGAATAGCATATCGTGTGAGACTTGTGAGCCTCCAATGGCGATGAAATCGTTAACCTAGCAGCAGTATCTCTGTTCAAAACATACACAAGCTTCTGCTTCTCACATGCTCCTATCATAACGGCCCTTCCTTTGGGGTCAATAGCCAAGTACTGACCCGGCACGATTCTACGGCAACCCGACTTCCCAAAAGTCTCCTGATGTATTTTGTCGAAAACATTTTTCTCCTTGTTGTAATCAAGTATCACAATTCGACCCGAATCAGACCCCACAACGATATAATCCTTCTGCGAACCAGTTAACCGAAACTGAGCCAGGGATCTAATTGCACCGAATACTTCGACAGAGTGTATTGTCTGGATCTTACCGTTCTCGTCCGGTCGGAGAAGATCTAGAATCTTGCCGCGGGCAACGACAATCTCCTGTGTCTTCCCACCGGAGAAGTTCCCATTGATGGCGCAGAGAATTCCGGTCGCCTGCTGCAGAGTAAGACTGTATAAATACATCCTCGGGAGCTTTCTCGAACACGGAAGCTACTGTACCAGCTAGGTTTAGGGTTTAGGAGAAGCGAGAAGAAGTGAGGACTAGGGTTTATGCCGGAAAAAGAGAGAAAACAACGCAGGATTGAGGGGTTTCTGAAGGGTTTTGGAATCAGGTGAACTTCTTCGTCATCTTCGGAGGATGTTCGTTCAGTTCTGGATTCAGTGGGAAATGAGTGAAGAGAGAGAAGGGAACGAATAAACCCTAGAGCTCGAGCAATGTTACCGCCATGGATCGATCAATTGAGAAATGCTGTCGCGAAACCAACGGCCGAGATTCAATCGTAACAGGAAGGTGCCTTCTTTGGGCCAATACTAATGGGCCCATATTTAACTAAAATGGATAGGCCGAATATTGGGATTGCTCTTGAAGATTCAGGACAAGTGTATATTTATTATTTAAGGAGAAAGAAAAAAATTCTACACATTTTTAAAAATTATGGAAAAAATATTTTGTATTTATCAGTGATAGAATAGTTTTAAATAAATGAGAAAATATAAAATTTTTATTAAAAAAAATCCATACTATTGTTATATGTTAATAATACATGGGACAATACCAATTTATTAAATTTTATGGCATAATTATAAAATCAATCATATTTAATTTAATTAAAAAAATGATCCATGCGTTTTTTTTTCTAGTCTGGCAAAAATTAACCGATTACATATTATCAAAGTTAACTTTATGCTCGATATGTACAAACCCTTAGTTTAGTCTATTAGATCATAATTTTACAAACAAAAAAAAATTCTAATAATTTGATTTTATATCTCATTTCAAATTATATGAAAATGAGTTCATAGCTCGTTAGGATTATGAATTAGCAGTGCATTGACGTTAGAATTCAAGCATGGATTTTGGTTAAGTCGCTGTTACATATAAACTTTTAATCATCGAATTATAAACTTTTAATTTAAAAAAAAAAGGCAGATTTTTTCTGGTAGAATCTGCCTTTTTCTCGAGTTCATCAAAGGATATAATCTTGTCTGATATGAAAACTACAACTTCTGAAGAGAACATGATACAACTTTATGAGGAAGTCAATGGTTTTATTGTTCTTGCATTGACTCTGCTCTGGTCCGAAGTTTCGTTTTCACGGCTCTGTTCTGGGCTCCATCTGGTTATGGTCTGTTCTTCCACAGTGTAATTCTCTAAACATGACGACAAGTCTTCACCTTTACAGTCTCCATTGACGTACAGAACCAACAACGTTTTCGCGACACTTCCACATAACCGTACAGCGCAATGGATATCGGACCAGACCCTTAACCGGAAGTTTCCCCCATAGCCATCACCAGGCTGAACCAAGACCGCGTATTCGGAATGAACCAGGGACGGATGGTGACGGTACGCTACGAAATCCACGCCGTATTGCAACCCGGATCTCAAAATCCAGTTCTTGGACCGTAGGTGAGAGTACGCCTTGTAATAGACCGGAAAGTTTGCTTTTTTGGATTTCATGATTCGCCAAACTTCTGTTTCGTTGTCCAAGAAACGATCTTGAATGGAGATTTTGATGCACTTTAGGTTGTGGAACAGAAAGAAGGCTTCTTCAAGGCTTAACTGAAACCATCTCTTATCTTTCTCAGCAGACACAATGGGTCTACCGAAGCAGCCATTATCTAGCAGCTCTGCTTGCTCAGGCTCCACGACGAGAAGGATGCTGCAACTCGAGAGGAACCCGGAAGCCTCTGATCGAATCAGAGAGGATCGGAGCTCTGATATAGTTGTGGAAACAGGTTCCGCGAGAGCTTTTGCCTCTGCACCTTTCCATTTCCACCTAGGCGCCATGGAAGAGCGACTGCAAACAGCAATGAAAAGGTCAATCCTTTGGATCTGCGGACAAACAGACATCGCGTAAAAGCATCCGAAATGTGTTTTTCTTTCTGCTTAGACATTGGTCCATCTAAACACAGACTTCATCGTTACCCACTTGGTAACAAGAACTCTCACAGACATTACGTCGAACAGGTTGTACGCGATAGCTAATCTTACGCTCGCTTAGAACCCAGGTGCTGAATTCAAACAAGGAATTCCCGAGGATCGGTGTTCATTCATGAAGAAAGGTAGAAAACTTTCCCAGAAATCGATCAGAAAAAGACTGCAAATCCCAGATTATCCTCGAAGTGGCAATGTATCCCTAATCAAAGATCGCATCTAAACACAGACCTTGATATCGCCAGCACAAGTTGCAGATACTGTAAATAAGAAAGTAAAATTCGCAGAAAAAAAATTACCTGAAACAGCAGTTCCTTGTACAAAAAGAAGAAAAATTTACGACTTGGGCCTTGAAAGAGTCTATTTTTATATGCCAAAATTGCAGAAAGCGGAGGGAGGGCTTTCGCATGGTAAAATCAGAGCCATGTCGTGCAATATTCATATAAATGATGATATCTACTGAATTTATAACATTTAAGGGTAATTCGGGAATATATATATATAAGTACAGTTAATTCAAATTTTCCTAGATTTGTAAAAATTAGAATTCTTTTATCCAATAGTAAAATTTCTAAAAGCATTGTTCCAACTTCCCATATAAACTAATAATAAAAATTTTAAAAATTCATTTGTGCTTTTAGTTGGCATGGATTAATACCTAATATATAATAATTATTCTAATTAATAGATGGGGATGATTATTTTTATATTCTAATATATAAAAAATATTGATATATTAGAAAAGGGAAAATCCCAATAAAAACCCTATATTTTTTCTTCGTCACAATTTAAACCCTATATTTTTTTGTTGATCCTAAAAAATATTATGTTTTTACAAATTGGCAAATAAAACCATGTACTTTTAAAAATTGACAAATAAAAATCTAAACAGAAAAAAATAATATTTAATATTGATATGACATCCTAGTCAAATATCACATCATCAACCTCTAATATTTAATAATATTAATTAATAAAAATAAAAAAATAATATTAGTAAAAATAAAAATTTTAAAACTATACACATTCATATACACATATATCACAAATACATATATAATAAAATGATATATATATATACATATATATATAAACATATTTATATATACACATATATAATACATACATATATATATATATGTATAATTATATGTTTTATATGTATGTGTTATATATATATATATATATATATATAT